CATTTCCTCATTAGCATCCACCTGAGCTGCAGTGCACCAGTACTTAAGAGCACTGTCAATACCCTGAATATTCATGCATTCTGCTCATAATCTCTGAACTCTGTGCACAATAGAACTTTTCAGAATAGCAAAGTCAAGCATAATTATGCAGAGAGACATGCTGGTCAGGTCTTGTTCCTCAGGGTCATGTAGTTCGAAAGCACAGCTGTAGGCAGTTTGCAAAGATTGCTTCTCTCTTTCCCTTCTAAGATACTGTCACATCAGCCATGAGCATTTTCTGCTATAATTTATTGTTTCTTCCTATATTGAGTCAGAAGGGTATGCATTTTTTCTTGGCTAAGTTAAACAAATCAGTCATTTCACAAAAGTTTCCAAATGATAGTTTGTTGTAAGCAAGACCAGATATGTTCTCTTTATAGATCCGGGGTTTAAAAGAAAAAGAAAAAAAAAAAAAGGAAGGAAAGAAAGAAAAGAACAGGAGAGCTTGAAAAACAGCTTACAGTTTGCTTTGGGCTGAGATCTTATCAATGAAAAGACAGAAATTTCTTTCATTAGCATGATGCCATAGTGAAAGTCAAACTGGTGTTTATGAAAGTATATTGCATGCTGCTTTTCAGTTAAAACTCTTGAGTTTAAATTAGCAATATTTGTAAAAAGCCTGATGTTAAGGGGTGTAGGGCACTGACTTTCAGAGCACACACATTAAGGTCTCAGGAACAGTTAAATTACAGGATGTTTGTCATTCATCTCAGGTGCTGTGTTAGAATGGTGTCAATAGGAACTTGTCTTGGTTTTTTTCTGACTTTCATAGAAGCAAGAAATAAAACCCCTGGGGGAAAAACTCTCTGCCCTATCCTAACGCCTTGAATACTTGAACTCTGAAGTCAGTAAAGCATGACTGTATCTCTGAATGCTGGAGCTTTAGCTGTAGTGTTATCCTTGGCTTCAGCAACTTTCAGCAAACTGGGGACAAACCCATATCTTTAAACATCAGATGCCTGCGGACTGATGGATAAAATTTTTAAAAATCTTGCCTTCAGCTTAGTTATTACTGTCATTTTGAACTTTTTCTCCCTGCAACACATTCGCCTTATAAATATTGTAGTATGTTCAGGATTGGCTGAAGGGATGCTGTGACCTTCTGCCAGAAGAAGCAGGTCTCTTATAAAAGAGACTAACATCTCTTTGAGGTCAGAAAAGTGAGATTTTTAAAGGTGATGTGTGGTCTGAGGACATCCCTGCAAGGTCAGCAGTCCTCAGCTAAGGCATAAGCAATTCTTCCTTATCCCATTCAGTCCAGAGCAAATCACAGCCTGTCCTCTTTTGTGGTAAATCTGTCCTTTATTCTGCCCCATTAATCCTCAATATAGGGATTCTTTGGGCTGGTCCTTCTTAGGTATTCCTACAGCTGCCCAAAGGCAGGCTTGCCCTGGCTTAATTTATTTTTATTCCTCTCTCCTTTTCTGGCTATCTTTTGTAGATCAGGAGTTGATGAAGTCCTTGACAGATCCCAGCACTTACTGTAAATTCATTCTGTTTTAATACCTAGTATTCTCCTGAGGCATTTGCTTTCAAAGCAATTAGACACCTGTCATCACCTTCAGTAGATTTCAAGCTTTCTTAGAGTATCCTAAGGTGAAAATAGCATTCCAGTTGAAAAATCATAGCTTAGTCTGAAGGTTGGAGTCTTTCTGTGAGTAAATTTTCTTTAAGCTGATGAGTGCAGCTGCTGCCTTGACAATTTGTGAGTTTATTTCTTTCTGGATATCCCCGCTGGCTTGCATGTTACTGCCAAAGAATGTGAATGGAGGCATTTTTTTTTTATTTCTTTTGCCTTCTCAAGTAGTGCTTAAACTGGGAGTTAAAAGAGCTCTCATTAGGTTCATTTTTCCTAACTGTTCATTAACCCCCCTCCTTGTTCCAGTGTCGAACAATCCTTTCATCTTTGTGTGTGGGTTGATTTCTAATTTACAATGGCTATATTGTCAGCTTAGTGTGTTGTGGCTAAACTACGTGAATTTTGCATATGCATTTTTGTGATATTGATATCATTGGCAGTGCCTCCTGAAAGGGAAGAAAACACTCCTTTGTTTGCCACTAGTGTCTATTCAGCCATTTGCTTGAGTCCCTGGCTTCCCAGACTGGGCAAGTTGCTTATGGGTTTTGCCTCAGTGCTTGCAGAGCATCTCATGAGGCAGGCAGAGAGCCGTACCACTCTGCACCACGTTCCAAAGCTGATCCTCCACATTTACAGATCATGTTGCTCCACTGTGCCATCAAAACACACACATTTTCAGAGTTATATCAATACTTTTATTGGTTTTTCTGATTTTCAGAGTATTTTTGTTAACAGCAGTGTTTGTGACAACTCGATATTTTCCCAGCATTCTGCAGAATGAAAGCTGGATCAGGTGCCAAGCTGGAGCAGGATTTCAACCCCTGCAGCCCAGCCCCATTCAGCCATGAGTGATGTGCCCTTGCCTTGACTGCCCAGAAGTTCCCTGTTTGCAAGAGGGCTGCAGTAGTTTTCCCTGCTTGAATACTTCATACCTGTGTCCAGTCCTGAGGGTCCTGTGTCAGGGTGAATCCAGGCCTGAAAACTTTTCCATGGATATACTTAATTGTTCCATAAATATTTGGGAACAGAGAGACTGTAGCAGTGCATTTAGCTGTCCAGAGTAGGAGGAAAGGTATTTATGAGAATTTGCTGTTCAGTTGGAGTTTGATTTTTATGCCTCTTTTAATGATGTCCTCTCTTCATCGAGCAGCATGAGTAACAATTCCCCCTTTGTATGTATTTTGTATCTATTCCTATTTCCTATTGAAATTCCTAGGAAAGAGACTATCCAAGTACAGAGTTGAAAATTTCATCTTAAAATAAGCCAGATGTCCAACCTTCCTTTAGCTGCCAAGCCCAGAAGAGTTCAAGAAAGATGTTAAAATCTGTCTTTCTGGCTGTGAAAAACTAATTGCATAGCATAGGTGATGATCCCAGTCTCCCAGGAGAAGGAATAAAAACTGCCTCGGGCAAAAATCTGCTGTTATTTGTCTGAGGATTGGAGCTGGCAGTATCTGTGGAAAAAGTTTCATTGCTTGCCCTCCTTGCTGGTTAACAAATGCTGAGAGAGAAACACAGACAAAGGTAGGTGTGTGTGTATCAGTGGCTGAAAACCTTATTCACCTTAGGAGGAAAGTGTCTTTTGTCTCTCTTTTGGAGAAATTCAGTGCTAGAGAAGTGCGGGGAGGCATATAGTAAGAATAACAAACAGGTGCACATATTTTCTTTCAACAGTAAAGCAAACACACGTTTGGTGAATACAACAAATATAGGAAACCTGTTAATAAAAAGTCATGAATGTGAGTGACTAAAGATGAATATTAGAGCTGGTCTGTGTTACTTTTATCAGCAGGCTTCACTGGTGCTACAGTTCCTCCTATGCAGAACTGAGAGCACACATTGTATACGTACATATCTCCCTGTGCTGGCTTCTCTGAAGCAGGATCCCACCAATTCTATTTGAGAGTTCTTTTCGTGTAAGGCCATTTTGCATCAGGTCTTGTAGTGATCCACACAGGAAGGAGAAGCACTGTGTGCTCCAGCCTAGAACAAAGCTATGTCTCTTGCATTAGATGGTCTTTGAGAAGCAGCAGGGGTTTCCTACGATACTTCAGGACAAATAGATGGGAGAGGAGGTGGAAGAGTGCATGCATCCATGTGTATTTCTGCCCCTATGTTCTAGCCTTACAGTCATCCACACTGCATTTGCATTGTTCATACTTCCATCCAGTCTCAGTGGTGCTGATATTTGGAGCATCCTAAATCTCTGGCTTGCCAATTTTCAAGAAGCAGCAGTCTGAAATGATAACGTTTTTCAGGGAAGGAACTCCACTGCACTGACCTTATTCAGAAACAGCGGAGGATAGAAAGTGCAATCATTTTGACACCATCCTAATTATATTTCCTCACTATTCCTCCACCTCCTCTTCCCTGTCATTTGCTTGTGTGTGGCTCTAGCAGAAATAGGAATCATACCGAAGTCCTGAAACCTATTGTTTCTTTATTTTAAATACAAGGTTCTTTTATTAACTCCAGCTGGTGCACCTCGCTGTGCTCACTGCATTTGTTTTATTAAAATTGAACTGCGTGCAAGTAGGACATTGTAAATCACAAGTGACTGGGCCAGAGGAAGAGGGAGGGAGAAGCAGGGACTCCAATTGTATGACAACAAAGAGAGCATATAAACAGGCTGGGCCTCTTGGTTAATAGAAGCCAAAACTCACGAAGTACAATTTGCAATTGCTCCCAGGAGAACAGACAAGTGCCAGACAGTTAGCAGGGATAGAGGAGTGAATACTTGAATACCTAATGTGTTCTCCTATATACTGGAACAGAGCTTCTCTATGGGTCTGGGCATGCAGTAGGAGCTGACTGCCTCTGCTGTAATCCTTGGTTACCTGATACCAGTGCCTTACAGTGGTCACCTGGTCTGTGGAAGTAGCCTTGTCAGACAGACAAAGTCTTGGAGAAGGTGTTTAAACTAAGGCAACCAGTTCCACTGTCTCCCTCATGAAGAGGGAGTATACCTGGGCAGTATTCAGCAGTAGTCATTTTTCAGCTTTGCATCTTCGTGGCTGGTGGAAAGAGTTGCACCTCAGTCCTCTTGGAACCTCATGGGCATTGAGAGAGACAGCTAGTGTGGGTGGACTCAGGGTAAATGAGTCCATACAGAAAGACAACCCCATGCTAGGACTGTTCTTCTGCATGCAGCACTCTGGGAGCTGCAGTATGCTAACTGATGAATGCAACAACTTTATGAAGGGTTTCTTGTTAATAAGTTTGCTAAGTGTTGAGTCCATTACTTGAGTCCATTACTTATCCACAAACTTATCCACTCGCTGCTGCACACTTCAGTTCTGGCAGTTATTTTTATGCTGTACATATATATGTGATTTTGAAGCTGTTCAGCTTTGCCCATGTCTCAGTCTCTTCTCTCCTGCAGTGCTCCTCAACCTGTGGGAAGGGCCTCCAGTCACGCGTTGTGCAGTGCATGCACAAAGTCACCGGGCGCCATGGCAGTGAGTGTCCTGTCCTGTCCAAGCCAGCAGCCTACAGGCAGTGCCACCAAGAGGTCTGCAATGAGAAGATTAATGTCAACACAATTACCTCGCCCAGACTTGGTGAGTGAGGGGTGCTGGGGTGAAGGTGCCACCTGTGAAGGACCAGATGAAGCCCTACATCTCAGTTCATTAAAAAAAAAAAGAAAAGGTGGGGCTTCCAGAAATTAGGAGAGAGACAATCAGTCAGACTAAAGATTTGGAGTGATTCGGTCCTTCCTTACCCATCACTTCTTGCCTCAGACTGCCCAAGTAGAGGCTAGGCCAGTGGGACCAATAAGAGTAGTGGCGGATGACTGATGGATCACAGAGGGAGCTGACAGGTTTATCTTTCTTAGTCACAAACAAACATCTCACTGCACTTTAACTGTGGTGTGTGTAAAGTATGCTGTTTTATTCGTCCGTGCCCCAAGGAAAATGCATCACCTTGACAAGTAGAGCACGACTGGCTTTAGTTTATTTTTTTTCTTTTTCATTTGTTGCCACAAGAATGTGGTTTGATGAATTAATTTGCCCTGGGAGGCAAGAAAGCATCCAGATCCCTTTTGTGAAAACTTGATTTTCTGCCACTGTCCTTCTTACCCTCCCTGCATTCACTGTGTACCTGGCCGAGCTGACTACTGTGGTAAGCCATTTGTTTTCCCAAATACTGTGTTTAAGAGAAGGATCTAGTTAAGAATGCTTATGTTAATACAAAATTGTAGGAATCCATAGTTTTCCATGTCATATTTGCTTACTTTACAAGGGAATAATTTTTTTTTTCTTCAAACTTCAGCTTTTGTGCTCAGCCAAAGCTCCGAGAACCAAGCTGATTTCTTTACATTTCACACATAATCAGCAGTAAGACAAAGCTGAACTAAGCCATCAGTTGCTGACACAGACTAATTGAAGTCTCCCATTGGTTTTGTGAAAATGCAGAGCTGCTAAGTAATAGAGAACCATTTCTAATCATGCTTTCCAGAGTTAAAAAACATTTAAACTAGGACTGGACATGAGGCTTCTGAACTGAAAGTTGTTTCCCAAAAGTTTAGTAGGCTATTTAAAAGAGTATGGGAAATTTTAGTCTTGCAAATACAGACATACTGAGGAGCTTTTAAGCTCTTTTGTTTAACAACATCTGAGAGTGCTTCCCAAATATTTTAGCACTAAGAGCATAGTGGAGGGAAAACATTTCATTTGAGAAATAAGCCTTTGATACGCTGATGAGAAAATAAAACCTTTCTAATTCACATTTTAGGACAAAGCAGTAAAAAGCTCTTGTGTTTAGAAGACTGAGAAGGCTCAAGTCCCTGCTGAAAGTAATCTGCAAGTAATTTGGGATGCTTTCGTTTCTAAACTAGGCTTGGAATCACCAGGCCAGAAACAATGATATTTGATATTAGCAGAAGGATATATCATTGAATGTTTTGCTCTTCCTACGTATATACAGCTTCTCATTGGATTATTTTTAAACAAATTTTTCTGTTTTCTGCAACCTCACAAAAAATACACAGGAAAAAATCCAGTCCTGTACAAAACCCATGCTGTCTTGTCCTCACTCTACAATGTTTCTCATCCTCTGTAATGTTTCTAGTAGTATGTAAGATTGGAGTTCACCTTGCCTGACTTTCATATCTGTGTCCAGTGTCCTTCAGTGAAGACACATTTAGAGGAGATTTATACCTGAACTGTATTTCTTCCAAGATGTGCTTCCTGTCTTATTTCACAACCCATAAGAGATCTTGGGCCTCTAAAAATCTAGAGTCCTATTTTATTTGTGGCTCAGTGCCTTTCTATTACATAACGCCTCCCTTCTCAGATTCTTATGATGTAGCTCTGATATTCCTGCAGGGTATCTCATTTAGGTATCTAATTTACCCAGCTACATCGTGTTTTTGTAAACTGTGGCTGTTTGGAACCATAGCTAGCAGAGTGTGCATCAGATCTTACCTCCTTCACTGCTGGCAGGCACAAAAATAACTCTACCCTCCTTGCATTTAAGATGATCACTATTTTTTCTCTCAAATCAAAAAAAGTAAGAAAAAGATGTATTTATTTATTTATTTATTTTCTGAGACGGTGCAATTCCATTGCATCAGATTTTATCAGACCTTTACTTCTCCAACTAAATGAAGCTTTGGTGATAGGCATTCCCACCAGTTCTCTGCTGTGGTTTTCTGGTGCTTGACACTGAGACTCAATGCTAAATACAGGGTAACATCACCTTTTGATGTTCTCCAACTAGTCCTTTTTTTCCCAACCTCAAAAGCAGGAAAAATTATTTAGAAGATTTTCCAGTTATCACTGCATTCATAAGACTGCTACATTCAGTTCATAAATCTGTAGTAGCATAAAAAGCATTTGCTATAGTCATGCATTTTTGTCACGTATAGTTTTGTTCCTGTTACTTTTTCATAAAATCACTAGTGACACTTTAATGATATTGGCAACAGATTAAGCACCAGTATCTTCATGCTGCTTTCCCTCCTGCAAAAACATTTTGTCAATCTTCGGGGGTTTCTGCCTCCCAGCAGCAGTTGTTGTCCAACTAAAAAGTGTTATTTTTGCTTCCTATTAATTTAGCTTTATATCCTTCAAATTGAGTTTTGCTTTTGCTTTTCTGTAAAAAACATTTTCCACTAAGAGGATGATGACCACTCCTGACAGCACACCTTAGCAAAGCACTGTCCCTGAAAGCATACAGCTTTCCATTTGCTGCTGTGCAGCACTCGTGTATTTAACTCTAAGCTGATGCTTCAGGTATTTCATTCATCTAAACTTACTTGTCACTGAGACAAAGTAGGTACAATATGAGTAGCTCTGTGCTTGCACAGTCACAGCCAACTGCACACTAGTAACAAGCACTTCCAAGAGCTCTCTATCCATTGTCTGATATCTCAGTAGACAGAACATTATCCAGCCTCCAGTGCTGACAGTGAGATCGGCCCTTTCTGTGATTTTGATCACACCAGCAATGCTGTTCTCTAGCTAATCTGCTAGTTTCTTCTTTCTTTTCTTGTCCAAAGCTGCTCTCACGTACAAGTGCACAGGCGACCAGTGGACAGTGTACTGCAGGGTGATCCGGGAGAAGAACCTGTGCCAGGACATGCGGTGGTATCAGCGCTGTTGCCAGACTTGCAGAGACTTTTATGCAAACAAGATGCAACAGAAGAGTTAATGAACCTGTGCTACTTCTTAGGGTATTACAGCTATTTGTATGTAAGTCACGGACTAGTAGGTCTGAGTACTGGAACTTCATGAGTTGCTACAGCGTGGTGGATTCCAAAGCATATCTATTGAGACTTGAAAACTAACTCTACAGACTGGATACCAAAGTAATCCACTCATCCACCATAAACAAACAAAAAAGCAAAACAAAAAAATAGAAAAGAGTCATCTCAAGGAGCCAATCATTTTATCATGTTTTGACATCTTTACCTTTTCAATTAATGCTTTTTACTTTAATATATTAAATCATCAGCCACTGGATGGCTTAATACCAATAAAGGACAAGAGTTGCAAAGTGATTACATTGATTAAGGTTATAGGTGCCTCCATGGAGGAAGGCCTCTGGCAAAATAGTTAAGCAAAGGTAGAGACATTATTTAATCTTTTAATCTTGGCTTTCATCTAATGTTTTTCATTCTGAACAGTTATCCCCCTGTCAAGTAGGCTTGAAGGGACACACATAAATGAAAGGCTTAATTTAAAGAGGGGATTTACTGTAAAAGCTTGTGAAAACTGATAGCAGAGGATGGACATCTCTGAAACTCCCACAGAAAGTTCATTACAATTACATCCAGCATTCTGAGTCATATTTTTTGAGAGCATCTAATAGTGACTGCTCTTCTTTCTAATTTAAAAAAAAAATCCTCTCTCTCTTTTCCCCAAAATAATATAGTTTCTTTTATGAAGGCTAATTTTTCTCTGAGCTTAATGAAATAGAAGCTTATTAACAGCAGTAGATAGTTACGTTTACGCAAAAACCATTTACAACGAGGTGGGAAAAGCCAGAAAACATTGGATCCAGTAGAGCTCACTGGGGGATTGCTTGATTTAATCTCTCTCAAGCTTTTAGGAGGCATTCAGATAAGGAGAGTACCATGAAACTGGATAGGATTAGTATAGAAACAGGACTTGGAACAACCTTTGTATGAAGGATGGACTGGAGAGCAGAACAGGTGTTTCTTGTCTTTTGGCTTTTGTATACATCTGAAGGTTATATAGCCTTTTGTCAAAGTGCTATGAGTGGTACAAGGCTTCAAGATGAAACCCTGAGCGTGCTGAAGCCCTAAGGCCAAGGGCTTCTGTTGCCTTCAGTAAAGGTTAGGATTTTGCTCACTGTATTGTCACGTTTTCTTTTGTGGTGCTATCAGGTTTGGTGCTATCAGACTGGTGCTATCAGAGCACTTAGAAAGTGCTGCATATATGATATCCTCTTCCATGTGTCTGCACTTTAAACCAAACTCCTCTCTGATATGTGAGACTTGAAACAGGAGCTCTACCCAGGGCAGAGTTAGTCCCCACCACTAGTCCTGCAGATCAATGTCTCTCTATCATATCTTGCTCCAACATGTATCATTTCCCTTGCCAGGCTCCAAGGCCAGTTGTGCAGTGGTTAAGTTACAGCTCATTCTTCATAATATGAACAGAGCCTTTTGGATGAATTGCAGCTTTGTACTCGCTCTAGAACTGTGTTACTGTTTTACTCCTTGTGGATGAGTGCAGAAGTAAGCCTACCTTTAACCCTGAGCCCACTATGGATTGCAGCTCACACCTGTCCTCAAGCTGTCTTTGTTGCTGTTGTCTTCCTTTCAGTGCAAGGAGGGATAAAGATTCTTAGTAATTAACATATCTTTAAAGCAACTTTTTTCTTCCTTATTTCAGTTTTCAGGATCTCACTGCAATAACTCATCAGCATTTTATCAACAGCTAAGTTTTTCAAGCACAGGGAGATATAATTTCATTGACAGACTAATACTGTGTGGGCTTCACATTCGTAACTGTGCTTATTTTGTGCAAACAAGTGTGTGGCCTGTATGCACAAATCCACCTTTGCACACCATTTATTCTCAAGTGCCTGTCACAAACAGATCTGCTTTTCTGTGTCCCAGATGATTTTTGCTACCAGAGGGATGATTCTAACTGGGTTTTTGTTTTACTGGATGTTCTTTTGGCACCTGATAGTCAGAATCCAACCTCTGTCTTCTGTTATCCCCACTCTGTGTCCCAGATGCAGAGGTTGTGTAAATACTTAGCAAGCAATCAATGGAAAATGCTGTGGGTCCAAGTTCTGGGTCCTGCCTAAGGAAACATAAATTTAGAAGGAATTTTTCTGAATGTCTGAGCACTGAAAACCACCTCACTTGCTCTCTCAGTCCACAGATTAGCATGCATCAAGCTTTTTTAAAAATGATCAGAAACCAACATTAATTAAAAACTGATGGTACAACACAGCTCCATTTTAATACATTCTCTAACTTCATCTGGTGACAACCCTCCCATGTTATAATAGCCAGAAAAAAAATATAAAAAGAGTTTAATTCTGTTCAATACTCGTGCACTTCTGTTTCATATCATTTTATAGGAGCTTTACTATGAATTTACAGCTATGCTCTGCCCTCAGTTACTCCATACTGGTGAAAGAAAAGCTGTTTGTTTTGGTGTATCTATGGCAATACTTTTTTTTTTTCAAGTTGTTCTTAAAGGATTGACACTCTTTAGATTACAGTGGTGGTATTTCCATATTGTAAACAATACTCTGTACTGTTACTAAAGTACTGTACATTTCTAGTTGCACGGTGGTGTTACTGAGTGTAGATTCTCACTATCTCATGTATGGTGCTAATTTTGTTGGTGGAAAAGAATCTTAGCAGTCGATTATTGCTTGATATTTTATTATAATACAGGGATATATCCTCCATGGCAATAATACCATGTAAGTTTTTCATTACAGAGTGAAATGTATATATTTTTCCATTAGTTAATTTGCATATGTACTGTATCCATAGTAATTTTCTTTTTGGTGCTGGTTATAAATAGAAAAGATAAAAACAGTCAAAGTGAATGGAACAAGTTGTAAATGAAAACTAAAAAAAAAAAATAGAAAAGAGGATCATTCCATTTTGAAAAAAAAATGAGTATGTTGAATAATAAATTTATTTTTTCCATAACAACTTTAAGAAGGTTTCTGAACTTGAAAAAATACAATGCAAATCAAGTAGCTAGCATGAAAATTCAGAGGAAGGAGTGAAGCTGTAAGTAGTACCTAATGAATCTGTCTAATACTGGACTGAGACTGGGATTTGGTTAAGTCTAGGCCAACTATGTGATAGCTGTGGTAGGTATAAAAAGTTTTTTGTCAGTAAGAAATCTGGCATTTCAGAATTCCTGGTGTGCTAACAAATCAAGGAATGATGGGTCTTGTCCCAGCTGGGTTGCAGAATAAAGCACAGGGAGTGTTAATACCTGATTACTGTCTAGCAAGATCTCTCCTCAGGGACACAACAGTAGAACATGCCTGTTTGGAAACAATAACCTAGGTTTTGTTTGGGAAATCACTGTGTATGACTGAGCAGGCTGCCAGGAAGCTAAAGCATATGCCTGGGGACATTTTGCAAGTGCTTTTGGGAAGGTTGCTTTCAATGTATGTTGGAGCTGAGGTGAGGTGGCAGCTAGCTGTATGTTTAATGGTAGCTGCTCTGCAGGTACAACCTAATAACAAAGGTTGCTGAGCATATGGAAGTTTATGTTGGAGCTAAACTAGGCCATCCATTCGAAGGATATCTACGTAACCTAGCTGCATACTGCCCTGGTGTGAAATAAACAGAATTACTTCAGTGCTAAGTGTTTTGGATGTGTTTGTTGTAGGCACTAGCCAGTATCTTTGTACTACTTAACTTCCCCTTCAGCCTGGTGAAGATGTCTTTTTATGAAGCGTTGCACACAGGCATGTAGGATCCCTTCCTATCCTGTCTTACAAAGATGCCATCATCCATATCCCATTCTTCAGTTAAAAGGACACTGTTGGAGATGGGAGCAGCACCTTTCTAAACCAGTCCTAAAAGCAAGCCATATCTTCTACAGCTGGTAATGAGAGTCCTCGTCCCAAAATGATTTCCAGAGTTTGAGCTTATACCTACTTTAAAAAATAGAGTTCATTTTCTGATCTCATGCTGCCTTCTTGGTACTGGCATAGCACCTATAGACTCCTAGTTTTCAGAGGTAGCCTGAGATACCAGTCCAGCTGCCATTACATATGAGTCTTCAACAGCATCAAAATTGTAGAAATTTCATCCAAGTGTTGCTGTATATTAACACATCATTGTGTTTGTGTATTGCCTGGAGTCAACATATGATTGCAATTGTTGACCTGTTTAAACAATAAAACATAGCTATAAGCCTTTGGAAGCCAAAGGCATTACATTAAGCTCGGATATGGCAATGGGTGGGAGGGGTGTAAGGAATGCTGTCATACATTTGGCTTGAAATTTTCCTGGTATGTGCCAATATGTCTTCTATAAATCTGGTAAGCTTATGTACTTAGTCTGCCTATTCTGCATGTAGCAGTTTGCTATTTTTCCTTTACTCCTAATCCCCATCTTTCAACCAGGAAACCAGATGGTTTGAAGCCATTGTCCTTCCCTGCGCTCTCAGTTGTCTTTTTATTTAAGGCACCTCAGCCAAGTTCATTAAAGGCAGGTGGGGTTAGATGGCTCCAGTGCTCTGGCATGGAAGTACCATGAGGAAAGTATAATCTCTTCTCAGCTGCTTGGAACTCACTTTTGCTTCCACCAGCCCCGTCTGCTTCCCTCACTTCCAATTCCTGGTGTACAGAGCAGCCTTAGCAGTCTCTTGATCCCTCACAGCGAGCTGGCCTGGACCCTGCTTTCTCTGGAAGGAAATTTCTTTCTTAAAAGCTTAATAATGGAGCATCTTCCCCCAGTATCAGCTTCATGAATCACCCAGAGCATTACTAATTGGAGGACCTTGTTCTGCTGATGGAGTGAAAGCTGAATGCGACTTTGTGCTTTCCTCCACACTACATGGTCTATTGGGAAAGGCATTTCCTCCTTGAAGAATGTAAGCACAAACCCCAGCATGCTGAGGATATACAGGCAGGAAAGAATTGCACCAGATGCCAGTGCGCTCACACTTTTCTGATGGTGCAACAAAAGAAGCCCTGGTAGCCTGATTGCAGACAAGTTACTTGCATCACTGGTTGGTCGTCTTGCTGCGTGAAAGTAGTGCGCCCAGAAACAGGCAGGATGTGGGAGCTGCTCCTCAACTGCATTACTTCTTCAAGTACTTAGACCTGTGTGGACACCGTTGACAATACTTCTCCATACAACCTGCCCTTCAGCAGCCTTCTGTTTATTTCAATTGGAAAGCAGGTCAGTATGAAGACAAGAGTTCTTCAAGTGCTACTAATGCACAAAAAACAGTTCTCCTTTCTAAGTGGATTTTTATTTGTCCTTTTATCACGTCTCCTCACCCTCTTTAAAAATGGGACTGTCTGCCTGGAGAGAAATGTGCCTTGGACAAACAAGACCGAAGAATCTTCACTTTGGAGTTCTTGAGAACTGTCTGTTTTTAAAAAGGAGTTTAAACAAGAATGTCTAAGCAGAGAGGGCTCACAACCTCTCCTATAGCAGCAGCTGCCCCAGAAGGTGACTGGGGTGTCTCCAAAGATGACCTCCATGCATCTCTCATGGTTTCTCTTTTCAAGACACTTTCATGTGACAGACCCCATGATGAATGCCTGGAGGCTGCACTGTACACTGTGCCGCACTGCTTATTTTGTCAGAGCTGCCATCTTTGCCAAATGGTGGCCAGACACTCAGACAGAATTTCCCAATTAGCAGAGTCCTGCAGCTGATGTCTGGGACTGCATCTGTGTGCCCTGTGCATTACTACAACTGAGACACTGGCGAGGCCCACATGGCCTGGGGTAGGTAACTGCCTCAGCCATAGGGCAAGGAGGAAGCAGCTGAGCCTTCTTGAAAGATGTGATTTCCTTCAGTTCCTCTTGCTTGGCTGTGAAGGTGGTTATTTGGGTGTTTAGTCCTTTCATCCTTCTGTGGTCTGGGTGGATCTGGAGCCTCCAGAGTGACTCATCTGGGTCATGCCACAAGCCTTGGCTTCCTTCTCAGTCTCAGCAGGGAGTGACTCCACACGCTGGCGGTGGCAGATCCCACAGGACATCAGTGTGTGGGGCCAGCTCCTGGCACAACTCAGCCTCCAGGTGAGTCCTTGCTTCGCTGGCATCTCCAGTTTCTCCTGAGCCTTGGGCTTATGGCAGTCTCAGTGTAACTCCAGAGATGTCTGCCTTGTCCTCTGCTCCCCGCAGACACATTTCATGTCCTTGTCCTTTATGCATGCTTATAGCTGCTTTGTGTCCCCTGTTTTGCACCTTTCAGAAACTTTGCCACTTTTGCTGCATATGCAAAGTAGCCTTCCTCTTCAGTGCAATTGCATTTAATCTCTCTCAACCTTGAAAGAGAATATTCTTCTAATTTTACTCCTGCAATAACCTCGTGTCTACCCTCACAGTTACTTTCTGGCTGGTGTTTGTTTCTGAGATTTTTTATAATGTTTCAGTGTTTTTTGTGCAGTGGCATTTGCATGCTGCAACCAGACATGGATGATGAAGGCCACATGCAAAGAAGCGGTCCTCCTCTGAAGAGCTTACAGACTGCAGGTGGTCGTGGGGAAAAGGTAGATTCCCAAAGCAGCTACTTGAGATTATTGGCAGCAGCAATCTGAAAAGGTATGGAGATGAATGTGTGCATCTTTTGAATGAGCCTATGCTAGCGGGGAGTGGAAAGGGATATCTCCCATTGGTTTTCTATCCTCAGATACATTTTTTGTCATTGAAAGTAGCAGAGGATAAAATTCACATCAATTCTGAGATGCCCCATACAGCAATTTAACCGCAGGATCCAAATCCAAGCTTGGCTACTGCTCAAAACACAGGCTGGCAGAGAGAGGGAAATGCTGATTCGTTCAGCAGGAGAGTGCTGGTAGCATGCCAGTCAGTATGACTGCTTCTGCTCCCAAAAAGCATCAGCTATCAAAAGACTGTGGACAGTTTTCTGTAGGATCATTGCATACAGCATCATTTTGCAGCCATTGCAATGTCAGGCAGTGAAACAGTTCAGAATTTGAAAATGAGGTGTCCTCTAATGGAACACAAAGTTGAGTGCTACCTGGGTCTGGCTAGCAAAGCAAGACAAGCCATTCTTGTGTTGGAGTTTTTCTTATTTGTCTTTTTCATTTTCTTGGAAAAGACATTATTTGAATACTTAGCAGCTTCCATTTATTTCCCCAGCTCTGCATTTTTCCTCTTGATTTTGTCTCTGATGGCAGAAAGACCCAACCAGACTGCAGCTTTGTTTGGCATCAAACTTGCCTCCTGAGATGATCACACAAGAAGTCTTTTATCACTTTGGAGGCTGAGAGCCAGAGCTGCTTGTGGTGGAAGTTGCTGGGACTGTAACCCCTGGTTGTCGTGGGATGAGAGTCAAGCTTGGCCTGTCAGCAAGGCGAGTTGCAGCAGTCTGAGCCCCTGCCAGGACACGTCAGTACTTCTGAGCATGCTTCCCCTGGTGCTGCTCTCATTAAGGAAAAGGTATGAAATCCACATCTAAGTTTCACTAGTCCTTTAAAAAAATGAAGTGTTGTCTAAAATAAAAGTCCTGTCCAGAATCATGGTCTAATTCCTTAGGAAGTCACTGTAAATTGAACCTCCTCTGCTCTTGCTGCCTAATAACCTCTTAGTTTTCTTCTTGATGTAGTTCAACTTCTGTGCTATTGGCACAATGTTATCCTCAGTGCTGTCACCTCTGCTTAATGCCCATGTTTGTGTCGAGGAGAGGAGGAGGGGTCCTGCTGAACTCCTCAGGCATCAGCAGGTCTCCAAGGCTGCAGTCACCCTTCCTCACAGCTTCCCCAATTCATTTCATAACATGCTTTCCACATCTTGAGGACGAGATGCTGACACAGCCAGAGAAGTACTGCCATCAGTTGCATTTTCCAGGAGTGAAGAAGTTGTTTCCTTTTCCCAATCATGTTCTGCTGAAGAAATAATTTAAAAGGGAAGAAGAAAAAACACATGACTGTGTTAGCAAGATGGAAAACAGCTTTCTGTCGCTTCCAGGTATTTATGTGCCATTGTCTCTACAGTGCCATTAGCAACAGTATTGCCTGTTGCTGACTATTAGGTATGTACAATTTTGCAATAGCTGTGTGCGCCATACTTTTGCAAGCACTGCCTTTTCCCTGTCTGTCCTCATGGCTTAGTTTATTTGTATGCAAGACAACAGCAATGTTTATCAAGCCTTTCCATCAGCTGCACAAACTCAGAGCAGAATCAGCTGTGTGCATATGTCCCTTACTGTGAGAGTTTCAGTTTTTGGGAGATAGGCTCTTGGGCAGAACCTATGAGATTTGGTGTTTCTTATGTATCTCTTTAGACAAAGTGCTGCCTATGCAGATACTATAAGGGCATATGAATATGGCATAAGAAAGGAAAAGCACATTTGTTTTCCAGTCTCCCTGTAGAATGGGTCTAAAACAGAACTATCATTCACTATGCAAAACAAAAACAAAACAAAGTAAAACAAAAACAACAAAAAACCCTGACAAAAACATTCTTATATTTGTAAAAAATGTCATATGTTTTTCAGGGTATCGCTAAATCTTGCCAGGCTTCTCCTCTCTCCTTCCTTGCCTCACCCCAAATACTTCCATTTTTGGCTAAAAAAATATCAAGTTTGGGAATTTTCTAACTACCAATGTCAGCCAAAACCCAGGCCCTTTTCTCTGATTTTTCCACTTAATTTTTAAAGTATCTTCTGGCAAAACAAAAATATTGTTTTGATGGAAAATTTTCAACCAGCTCTGCTCACTACTTTCTGCCAACAGTCATACAGGCAAAACAGTGCATCTTCCAAGAGAGGAGACTGTCCGAGAGGGCCGAATGTGAGGCAGGCAGTGACTAATGCTTCTCTCCCCAACCCTATGCCCCAGCCAGCACTGTGCTCTTCTGCAGGCTGCAGCCCTTGGTAAGACCATCTTCCTAGAGATGTTTCTGGACTAAATTTTTCTTGGCAAGTCAACTTCATAATTCAGGTATTTTACCCAGTTGAAGGAAGGTGTGGGTGGCACAGTAGGATCACCAAGAGACCACGAGACTTGGAAGAGAAAAATTCTGCACTTCCTATCCACATTAACTAATACTTGGACTCCTGCAGGCAAGTACCAGCTGGCAGGGAGAGGTGGGGTGATGGGGCCTAGTCCAGCTCACTATCAAAACAAACTTCCCTGTGCTATTGTTGAACAGAGCTGTTTAGAAATACCAGCAGCTGAGCCATGCACAGGCATGAGCAGTCTCCATTGTAACCCCTGAGAAGCTCTGTGGGCAAGATTCTAAATTGGCTTGTAGACTGAAATGACACCAGTCACATCACTGCTGTGTATCTGTTACCCATCTGTCTCTTGGGAAGTTACTTCTCACACTGAATGTGGAGCATGAATTCAAGGGAAGCTCAGCTCCTCTCAGGAAGATATTCCTGCAGAGATGGACAGAACCTAAATTTCAGTATTTGGCTTCAGGAACCGAAAAGGCTTTAGCACACTGGCTACCTGGACAGTGTCCTCTGAGGACAGCCATTCTGCAGCAGTCCCTAATACTTGCCAAGTACTCTGAGATCTTCCAATGAAAGGGTTTTTAGATGTGGAAGAGTTTATAGCCCTTCTCTGACCATTGGTGATTTTAGTGGGTTAAGTTAGGAACAGGAAATACAGTGACTAGAGGAAAGCCATTAATATTAAATTCCAGCCTTTGCCAGATAGTCTTATGTTATCTTTGCTCTTTCATGAAATACTTTCCAGTTTTGCTCGCAGGGCATTTGTTAGAGGGGTAGCAACTGAAGAGCTCTATCTTGGCACATCTCCACCTGCTTTTCTGTAGCAGTGCACATTTGTGCTGTGGGATTTTAAGAATTTCCTTTGCCTTTAGAATTGATATGCAAACAGTCAGCTGTATAGACATCAGTCTGACCAGCAGACATTCTGTGTGACGCAAGAAATAATACAGGTGGCCAGCACCATGCTGGTGACTCCAGAATTTCTGGAGAAAACAGACTTGTTTTACTATGTCTAGAAGATGGGAGGTCCTGTATACACCATCCAGTAATGTAATCTGCTGTGCTTGACTGATCACAAAACACCCACCAGGATTTCCCTAACAGCACTCTTGATTATTGCCAAGGAAAGCAAAGGTTTGTAAGGAATGTGAATCCTGACCTTGCCACCTCAAAAATAGCTTGGAGATCTCAAGATGCTCATTTCAACAGTCGAACATACATCCCCTTTGTGCTATACCAAGTCTGCCAGGTTGATAGGAACCAGAACCTTCCATCTCCAGCCTGCACAGTGATCTAAGTAACCTTTCATGCCAGAGCAAACATAGAGCCCTGTGCAGTCAGCATACAGTTCTGCCAGCATCCTTTTCTTCAACTCCTCAAATAGTCATTGACTCTGTTGTGCTAAAAGCAGCTGGGATATGCTTTCTGTAAAATGGGCCATCTTAATTTTCCCATCTGCCATGTTGCTGTAAGTCACACTATGCATTTGTACCGCCATGTGATAGGTATGGGTTGAGAGATATTAAGACAGGACAGATGAGAGTTTCCAGCTGCCTAACCCTGTTCAAGCCATCTCTCCTAATAGTGACTTTACCAGGGCCAAAAGCTGTATGATTGAGCTCTTGTGTACCTTGCAGACAGACATTGAAGCCTAAAAGAAAAATTTCAGCCTGGAGAGTCTCATATCACTAAGCAGCTTGTTACCCGGTGCAGTAAAGTTTTCTGTTAAAAAGAAGTCTTTTATTTCCCATTCATACTTGTCTGGTGGCAAGGAGAACCATTCTCCTGTCCCAGAAGGCCCTAGCTGCAGACACTGCCTTGGAAGTGAAGCTTGCTCTCATGGCTACGGCAAAGGAATGGGAAGCACGAGATCTGGCATGAAGTTCTCCTCCCACTGAAGCCAGTGGGATGTTTGCCATTGGCTTCAGGGGAAGCCAAGATTTCGGTCTGCAGCCAGATTGCTGTGTGTTGTGCTATGCTGTGTGCAGGATCAGAAAAGTTCTTGGTTTCCTGATGAAGCTGTTACTGTCTCACCTCCTCTGCTGCAGATAGCTGTCTCTCACCTGATGTTGCTCCCTGCTTGTCTCCCTGTTTTGAAATCTTATTCTTAGGCTAGAAACTCTTGAAGGAAGAGACTGGCTGCATGGTTTGTGCCTGCTTGTATTGTCCCACAGCTGGGGCTTCTGGACATTCCACTGCCAAAAACATCCCCTCCACTGTGGATGATGTATGATGCAAGGGGATGGCATAATGCAGCAATGAAGAGCTGAAAATAGGTGGTTTGAATTAAGTAAAACATATGGGGTTTTCTCCAGGTAAAGAACTTGAATCAGCTTTAGAATTTCGCTCTGTGGTTCAAGAGAATCTGAAGAGATT